AACAAACTACAGTTGTTAAACAAACTGCGGTTGTTAAACAAACTACAGTTGTTAAACAAACTACAGTTGTTAAACAAACTACAGTTGTTAAACAAACTACGGTTGTTAAACAAACTACAGTTGTTAAACAAACTACGGTTGTTAAACAAACTGCGGTTGTTAAACAATCTACGGTTGTTAAACAAACTACGGTTGTTAAAGCTCCTCTCTGTGAGACCTGCAGCAGGAAGGAGGAGGAAGTGATCATGTGACACAAGAACAACATGTCGTGGAGGGAGGAGGACATTTTGATGATTTATTCTCTCTTTACGTCTTTTAAAACAACATATTTCTTCATTTATTTTCACAATATTCTGAATAAATGACCTATAAAAATAAAATAAATTGTTTACCTGCCCCGGGCAGTGGGGCAGTAGGATTTGTTGAACCCTGCCTATAGGGACAATTTAATTTTACTAATGAACCAAACACACACATCTCTGGTGTGTGACAGGAAACCAGAGGAGCCAGAGAAAACCCACACCTGCACGGGGAGAAAATGTAAAGTCCACAACCACACCATGTGACCAGAGTCAGCAGGACAGAAAAACTAGTGTTTAGTTATGTGAGGACATGTGATCTGTCTCATGTTGTACTGTCAGGACACAGGGACACTTTTAATAAACACATTTATATAAAAGTTATAAGCCCTCTGACAACAGCTGAACTACGAGGATCACCACCACAGGATGACCTTTATATTATGTGTAAATAAATTAATTTTAAGGCTTTTGTTGACAGGTCTTTGGCTTACTTGGTGACTGGATCAGTCTTCTTTATGGTCTGTTGGCTCATTACTGGTCGGATGACTGAAACACAAATTCATTTGTTCTGTTAGAAGGTTTTTTATGTGACAAAATAAACAACAACGGTTCTGTTAAAGAAGAGGAGTGTATTACAGAAAAGGCTGTGTGATGAGAAGTTCTTTTAAAAAGACAAAGCCATTGTAAGGGTAGCAAAATGTGGAATAAATAAGACTTTAAATGTTTAACTTGTTTAAAAATTAATTTAATAATTAATGGGGTTGTGAATTAATTTTTAAACAAGTCAATTTGAGATGAGGCGGAGGAGGACAGGCGCGTTCTACTTTTTTAAAATGAGTAGGAAATGTGCGTTTCTTCACATCAACTATTTAATAAATATTTCTCTCATCAGTTTCTCTGTGTTTACAGTCATTTATTAAAGACGTGTAAAGGTGGAAATGTCTCAGCCTCATGCGCCGCTGCAGCACACGTGCGCACACACCAACACACCTTTGCGAGTGGCAGACTCATTTTTACAGCCCACTACTTATTTAGACAGTTTTCTCACTCATTCTCCATTTAATGTATAACTTCCCTGCATCTAAAACTCATGTCTGATCCCACAGAGAGGACAATCTGAGGAGAACCTCACACCATTTACATCTATTTTACAGATTTAAATGGAGGCGTGTCAGGGGAGGAGTCTCAGTTCCACCTTCGTTGGGATGTATAAAGGAAGGGTGCACAGGAACCTGTGTGCGCACAGTTTTATACATCTGAATAAAACTGTGCGCATGCAGGAACCTCTGTGCGCATAGTTTTATACATCTGTATAAAACTGTGCGCACAGAGGTTCCTGCGTGCTGTGCGCACAGTAGGAACCAGTAAAACTGTGCACACGCAGGAACCTGGTGCGCACAGTTTTATACATCTGAATATAACTGTGTGCACTCAGGAACCTCTGTGCGCACAGTTTTATTCAGATGTATAAAACTGTGCACACAGAGGTTCCTGCGTGCGCACAGTTTTATACATCTGAATATAACTGTGTGCACGCAGGAACCTGGTGCGCACAGTTTTATTCAGATGCATGAAACTGTGCGCACGCAGGAACCTGGGGGTGGGTCAGCTGCGAGGAAAAAGTAACTTATTTCTAGCAGCAGAACATGTTGGAAGATGGCTGTTTGATGTTATTTATTGTTTTTTAAATCATCCT